AAATTTTTTTTTTTTTATAAATAATCCTTTTAAGACTGATTTTTTTTATACTATTTTTTTTCGGTCTTTATTTTTAGACCATATTATTAAAAATTTTTTTTCAGTCTTTTTGGACCTTATTTTTCAGAATTTTTTTCGGTACTTATTTTTTTTACAGATTCCTTTTTTTTCAAAAATTTCCTTTTTTTAAACCAATTTCTTTTTTATCCTTTTTTTTTTCCCCTAATTTTATTTTCGTTTTTTTTTCAAATTTTCTTTATTGTTATTTTTTGGAGGTTTTTTCGAATTCTTTAAAACCTTTTTTTCGAGTTGGTTTTTTTTCCAATCCGAAAATTCTTTTTTCACTTTTCTTTTTTCGGATTGGCTTTTGACTTTTTTTCCAATCTGAAAAATTTTTCTTTTTTTGGTTTGGCTTTTTTTTTGTTTTTTCTCAAACCATATTTTAAACCATTTAGATTTGGATTAGTGATCAGATTGACGCTGCAGCACCACGGTAATTCTTCTTAATAAGAATATTTTCCCTAATTATTTTTTAGGTTCAATAATAGACTGACATATAATTTACTTATTTATTTATTTTTTGTAATAATAGATCTGACAATAGATCGGAATAATTAATTTTCTAAAAAATTTTTTTTTTCATAACAATAGATTGTTATAATTGATTTTTGGAGGATTTTTTTTTACTTTAATTTTAAAATATATTATTATTACTTTAAAACTAAAATGTTTGCCATGAACCTTTTTTTTAATTAAAAATATAAAATTGAATCGGATTCAAATCGGATTCAGATTAGATTCAGATTAGATTTAATTTGATCCGATTCGACTTGGATCAAATCCAATTTTTTTAAAATAAATCAGATCGGATCAAATCTTATCTAAATCTGATCTGATCTGATCCGTGCGGAACCCTAGGGTTCACTATGCTAGATGATCCTCATAGATGGTAAAGTCTCAAGTGCAATGTCTTAGCAGTAGTTTACCTTCTAATAGGTTTAGACTGATTGGAGACATTTATAGGCTCACAGGTATATAAGGTTCTAAAGTGAGGTTCAATTTCTCAGTGAATTTGACGTACTGGTGGGTGATCCCTGGGTAACTGGGTTTGTTACTTATAATAAAGGGGTGATCTCAATACCCTTAGTAGCTTACTGTCCTAGTAATCACTGTTATACTATCGGGGACTTACAACTATGGTGGGCTGGTATGGTTAAGGTTGCTTGTCTAAACCTCTTCAAAATCCTACGATTGGTTTCGTCAAAATTTTACTATAGATTTATTATAGTTTCGGCAGAGTTTCAGCAGTTTCGGCATTTATAATAAGTTTCGGCAGTTTCACCTTTCTCCAAAGTTTTGCCAGTTTTTTAATATAACTTTAATATAGTTTCAGCAGAATTTCGCTTTTCGGCGAAACGCCATCTTGCCTAAACCCCTAGGTTTCGGCAAGCAACCTTAGGTATGGTAATCGTGGCCTGTAGTGGGCTTTGAGTGAGATCATATTAGTAGTCTTAGTACTGCAGTACCTCTAAGTTAACCATCATGGAAGGACTTCTAGATGTCTGCTCCATTATATTTGCTGTATGTAAATGGTTGCTCATTTCTGACAGGCGCTAGTGGGTAGCATAACTGTGTCAGAAACCCTGCTGCACTACTAGAGCTCCGAATAGGTCAGCCAAATTCAGGTAACCTGACCTGACCTGACCTGAAATTCAGGTCAGGTATGAAGATTGACCTGACCTGATTGACCTGTTGACCTGAAACTATTGATTCTACTATATAATAAAAGTGAGTTGCAGTATTGCGATTCACTTTTTTATATTGATTTTATATAAAAAAAGTGAGTTGCGGTATTGCGATTCACTTTTTTATATAGATTCTATATAAAAAAAGTGAGTTGCGGTATTGCGATTCACTTTTTTATATTGATTTTATATAATAAAAGTGAGTTGCGATATTGCGATTCACTTTTTTATATTAATTCTATATAAAAAAAGTGAATCGCAATACCGCAACTCACTTTTTTTATACAAAATCAATATAAAAATGTTGAATCGCAATATTTCGAGAAAAAACGTTGCGAAAACATTTTTTCATAATGTTATATTAAAAAAAACGTTTTGCAATATTTTTTTTCAATATTTTAATAAAAAACGTTGCAAAAACGTTTTTTTTCATAATATTATATTAAAAAAAAAAGTTTTGTACCGTTTTTTTTCAATACTTTAATAAAAATAGTCCTGAAATTTTTCAGGTTTCAGGTCAGGTCAGGTCAAACAGACAACCTGATATAACCTGACCTGACCTGACCTGAAAAAAAATTTCAGGTCAGGTTTATCAATTGACCTGACCTGACCTGACCCATTCGGAGCTCTATGCACTACGATCCATCCTTGTGTGGGTATAAACTTGGGTCGTCTTCCCAGTGTGATATATAGGGGGTAGGGAGATGAACATCTGGTTACTTCTAAATAATTAGAGTAGGTTGCTTGGTTATCTGTTGCTCAACAGTAGGAGTATATTATTACAACTGGTGTTGTAATGCTCCTTCCACATAGCTTTGGTGAGCCAGCTATGCTGATGTCTCCTAAAACATATAAAAAAAAAAAAAAAAAATATAATTTGACAATTTAATAATAACAGTATGCCAATAACTATAAAAGTTAACTATTGCTAATATATATGTTTAATTAGAATTATTTGAAATTTGAGATTATATAATAAATAAATTAAATTATTTTAATATTTAAAAATTAGAGATATATAGCAAATAAATACTTCTGAATATTTATATACTTATAATATCAGATTATTAAATCATATTAGTTTATATTATAAAAATTAAAAAAAACTATATAATTTCTTTAATTAAGTTTCATTAAAAAATAAGAGATTACAATATTAATAGTTTTAATAAAATTAAAATACCTGATACTATAAATTAGTTTCAAGAATTTATCAAAAATTTGGCTCTATAAAAGTATCTTTTGTACCTTATAAAAAATTTATAAGAATAGCAAAAAATTTAATAAAAACACTATTAGTATAGTAAACTGGTAATTTTAAAACTTTAAAAAGCTATTTTAACTACTTGTCTCTATATTCTTATGAGTTTCTATAAAATTTTAAATTTTCTTACTTTTTTTATATATTATACATCGGTTATATATTAATTATATTTATAAGCATATATATCTATAATTACATATACCTATAAGGTCATTCCAATTTAATAGTTTGTTTAACGTACCCATTTTTCTTGTTTTTAAAAAAATTTTAAAAATAAACAAACATATGTTATATTATATAACTTATAATAATATTACCAATCTGTACAATATTTTAAAAAATTTCTTTCTAGTACATTTGGATCTACTAAAGAAAATATTTCTCTCCTAATAGTACAATTAATAATAGTAATAATATACATAAACTTATCAATTGTACTATCTGTAATAAATCAAGATATATTTTTAGTAAAAATGCATTGAGTAACGAAAAAAAAACTAGTTTAGAAATTTCATTAGATAATATAATTTATATTTGTAAACACAATTTTTATGAAAAAGTATATGTTAGACTAAGGTTGCTGGAGAAACTAGAGGGTTTTGGCAAGTTGGCAAAATGCCGAAATAGTGAAAGTTTGCTAAAACTATATGAAAGTCTTATTAAAAAGTTGGCAAAACTCTGGAAAAAAGCAAAATCTGATGAAACTTATTATAAATGCCGAAACTGCCAAAACTTTGCCAAAACTATAATAAAATTATAGTAAAATTTTGGAAAAACTAATTGTAGAATTTTGGAGAGGTTTAGGCAGGTAACCTTATGTTAGACAAAAAATCCATTGTAGTAGTCCAATTGAAGTTGTATATTATTTATGTCATTATTTAAAAACAGAAATTATTTGTTTTTATTATAGCTTACTACTATATATCCATTTTGCTAAACTTATGAAAGTAAAGGTACAATTGATCAACAAGAGGAAGAATTAAAGTTAGAAGTTAAATAAAAAAAAAATTAATTAAATTTAAATTATTCAATTAGTTTATTTTTAAATATTTACTTAATTTGATTCTTTTTTCTCTCAATTTTTATATAAAATTAGGATATTAAACAAATTATTAAATTGAAGTGGCCTAAGAATAAGTGAATAATAATTTTTTTTTAAAAAAACTTTACTTTTATAAGAACTTATAAAAACATAAAAACAAGTAATTAAAAATTAGTTCAATAAATCAAGCTAAAATTTATAAAATTGATATTATAGCCATCTCTAAGAGTAATTTTTATAAAAATAAAGAAATTTTATAGAAATAGTATAATAAATATGTATTGTTATATATTAATTATAAGAATAGTATAAAAAAAATTAATTTTTTTTCTGAAAGTTTTATTTTATATAGGAATATATAGGAATATAAAAATATATAGTAGAAAATATAATTAATTCAATGTTAACATTTGGCTGTGGCCAAGATTTTTTTTGGCCATTTTGACTATGATCAAATGGCCAACTCTGACCAAATGTTAAATGGCCAAAGAAATTATTAGATAAATATTAATACCTTATTGATATTTGGTTATAACCAAAATTTTTTTGGCCATTTTGGCCATGGCTAAACTGCTAAATGGCTAACAGCTAATATACCAACACTGATTAATTAGCATAAGAAAGCAAAAGCATTATACAAATATATTCATACGATGTTTCTATAAACTTAGCCAAAAAATTTATAGGAATAGATATACTATTAATTAAAAAGACCAGTCATTACTAGATGAGAGCAAAATTTTTAGTAAAATTGTAAGCAAGTTTGCCTGCAATTATTTATGGTTTAAGAAATAAATTATATATAATTTAAAATAATTTTATATAAATTTATATTTATATATATATTTTCAAAATATTTACTTAAAATTTTGAATATTTTTTTGTAATAACCTAGTAATATTATTTTATTCTATTAGTAAATAATATAATATTTAAAAATTAAATATTATTTGTTTCTTTATTTATTTAAATAGATCGTAAGTTATAAGTTATTTATTTGATTTAAAAATTATGTTAACAATTTATAGCGTTTTTAGTGAATTGTATCAATTCTTTATCAACCTATACTATGATTCAAATTTATATGGATTTAGCGGTTAAGAGATTCATAATGTTTTTGGGCGGTTTTAGACGCTGTGTATAGGACACCCGGCTACGTGTGTATCTTTTCATTACTCGGTTAAATTAGACCCGAGTCAATATGACGGCGAAATTATTTTAACTGGGTCTCCTCAAATCACGAGATGACCAGCTAATCAGATTTGCTCTCAAAAGTGTACGATCACAATGATGTCATAAATGTCATCTCCGTATTACACTAAGACGCCCGTGCCACGGCTTTCTATCTCAAAATTAGTAATTGCGTACGATCACTATGATGTCATAAATGTCATCTCCGTATTACACTAAGACCCGTGTAACAAAATCATCACCCCTCTGCATAATATAAATAAATATTTTATAGTAAGGAGATCAGTAGGATGCGATGATTTATGCAGTGTTGATTAGGTGAGGCGGATCAAAAGGTAATTTTTCCCACCAAAACCATGTTTCATATCTGGATAAAAAATAACATAAATACCAAGGAAAAGGTAAGTCACTTGCCTTACTGGGAGGAGTTTTTTTTTTTTTCTTTATGAGTTTTTTTTTTTCTTTAACCTGAGAAGTATACTGTAGTTATGGAAGTACTTAAAGAAACTTTCGAGGACGAGCGAAAATTCGAAAAAATTATACGAGACGTTCCTAATACCCTACAGGTATGGTTTAAATATTATGCCGTATTTTAAGCAAGTGTCGCATTAATATTTGTATGATATTCCAGAAATCACCAACAAAGAATTCTAAGAATGAAGAACGGGAGTCCGAAATATCTGTTAATGAACATAGACGGAGCGGAGATTCCAGTTGTCACTATATGGGATGCTCTCGCCCTCTTTTATACTATAAACATCGGCAAACCTCCGAAATTTCTGACTACTTTCGATCAGCAGAAGAATTGGCTGGTTCGACATTTAGACCAGTTAGCGAAGTGGATATTAATTCTAGAGCCAATACCCGTGACCCCGCTATTCAGGGACCTGCCATGGCCGACGGTGTTAAATGTGTTATGGAGATCAAAGCGCCAGAAGCGCCAGAAAATCATAATGATCTCGTTTGGAGCATCGCTAATAGGCAACAGGAGTGCCAGAAAACAAATAATAAATTTACGACAGCAAGTCGATTTAGTGAACCATCATCTCTTTCCTCGGGATGCGAATGGGGAATTGGTAGTGACTTCAGAGCCCTGGCAGTTCGGAAATTGTGCCGAAACGAACCCATTGTTCCATCTAGCATCGCAGAGATGCGAGCTACCAATCAGAACTCATGCAATCGAAATGATGTCACGAGAAACGAAACCACCTTGCTTAAATTGCAAAATGATCATGGAACACAGCACACCCCAGATCTGCCCTTGCTTCTTGAGTTATTGAAGAATAAACTACCATATCGCGAAGAGACAAACAAAAATGTCTTGAATAACTTTGAGATCCGAATTTTTAACGAAATTTACGGCATTAATGATTTTTGCCTTGTGTTTGCATGTGAAGATTCAATCTTTTGGCTAAAAGATCATGATGGGGCTATTTATTTTTGGTCTCGCATAGACGATAGCATGATACGCGGAGGAAGTAATCTGATAGAAGCTTTGACAAATTATCTTTTTCACCAAGAGAATCTTTGTTATGTCGATGAGATTACTCGCGAATTGGTACCAATAAATGCATATGATAAAGAAATTGAAGAATGGGCAAAATCACCCGAGATTTGTGAATATTTCGATGCAACTAAAGTATCACCAAAGCATGAATCGAAAATGGGTGGAAAGAAGCAACAAAAAAAGAAAAAGAACAAAAAAAAGCATTGACATAAAAATAATTCCTGTTTGATTTTTTTTTTTAACACTTAATTCTACAATTAAATCCAATATATTCATGTATCTTTCATTCATAGAGTAGGCTGTATTGCATGATTTACTTTATTGTTAATTTGTATAAAAGTAATGTATAAAAAATATTTGAAAAATAATAAAACGAATGTAAATTTAACTGCAAATTTATTAGAATTTGCCATTGCAATTAAGAAAGGATAAGCAAAATATTTGATGCTATCAAAGGAGGAGGATCCTAGGCTGTTTAATGAGAGTCCCAGCATCGAATTATATATACACATAAAACACACACACACGTATTTAAAAAATTCAGTGAAATCTTTATTATATTTTTTTTATAAATAAATGAGAAAGGGCCGGCCGTCTAAGTAAATATGATTGTAAAAAATGATAGAGTAGCAGGCTGTTTCAAGGGAGGAAAGGCATAAAAGAACATGCCTGCTTTATAAGCCTACCGAGCCCTAACTCATATACTGGCACTACTCAGTATTATTATCTAAACTGCTAATATTTTCTTTGCTATCTAACCATTTGCTAATTACAGTCAACTTTTCTTATAACGAATTAGGCGTCCATCAGGCCTTCGTTATGAGAAAATTCGGTATAGCACTACGGATTATTCGGTGTATCATATAACGAATATTTTACATAATATTAAGTAATTCGTTAAATATTTTGATATCTGAATTTTATTAATTAAAGCAATTTTAAAAAATTTTTTATGTACATTTCAAAAAGTATTTTATTATATTATGTATATATATGTATATTATAATTTCGCATTACAAAAAAAAAACTTTTGCTATGTAAAAAAAAATTCTAATTAATAATCTCGTTCATTTACTATTAATAATTAACTTGTCTTGCAGAAATAAAAAGCTTCTTTTTTTAGCTTTTTAACATATTCAATTCTTCCTTTTTAATATCAAAATCACTTTCTTGCTGTTCTAAATATAAAATCTACATAATATTCAATAGCTTCGCTATGTGCTGTTCACAATATTTAACACTCTTTTTTTTGGATTTTTATTTTTATTTGTTTGCAGCTCAGTTAATGGTTTTCTATATTTGCCGACATGTTGACAAATAATTGTTAATTTCGATATTCACTTTTTTCGGAACGAGTTAAACGTGATTTCCCTGAATACATTCCAAATATAAAGTAAAAAATATTTTCTTATTTCTCATAAGATTAATCAAATTACATTAATGAAAACCAAATATAACAGTCATGATATTTTTACAACTCGGGATATTTATCAGATAATTTCTTAATACGGAATTACTGATAAGCAGAAATTCCCACAAAACTGATCGTCTTTTGATTGGTCATGTAATTTTTAACTTTTCTCCGAAAAAATTTAAAATTTTTTTATCTTAAACCAATCAAAATTTTGCGATAATAAAAATTAGTAATAAAAATAAAAAATTATTGTCTTATATCTGCGATAATCTAAAAAAAAAATGTTATTTTGATCATATTCTCCAGCTATATCAGATAAAAGATTGTTGATGTTTAAATTGAAGAAAGAGAAAGAAAAGTACTGTACGTCTAATCATTTTAATGAATATATAATAAGAAGATTCTGCTAGCAAAATTCGATCTCATGTGTTATGTGTGGGATTTGATTCATAAAAAGTGAATACACCGCCTTTATCTTGAAAATTCGGGCAAATGGATACAGTAAATGAAGAATTATATGGTCTAGTTAATTGTTTCTTTCTAACAGTACATGGAAAAGGCTGAACATTCATCCTATAAATAAATATACAGTATTTACATCTCACAAGTGACAAGCCTACTAACCCCTTTCTTTTTCCAAAATAGGATGGTGTCAAGTATACAATGCTAAATTGCTAATCAGGGGTGTAATTTTTAAATATAGACCGCCTCATTAGCTGGGCGTTACGCCAACCCACCTACGGTATCGTTATGAAATGTTTATGGTTCACTAATTAAATTGAAAAAATTAAACATGAATTCGTAGGTTAGGTTACAAATCTAATTTTTTAACTTTTCCAAATTTTTTTAGATACAAAGTTGATTTATTTTTAACATGGCGTTACAAGTGGCGCGTTGTCATTATCGATTATTTTGCATTATTATTATTTTATGAAAACCGATTGATCACTGATTCAAGTTTTTAATTTTTAATAAATGGCGAATTGCCTAAAAGCCTCATCAGTAAAAAATTCGTAATGAAAAAGAAAGTGGCTTAGTTTCATATACATAAATCATGTATTAATCCAAGTTTGAATAATTCGTTTATTTTTTTTGAAATATTTCCGTTTGACACAAACGCTTAAATATTGAAAAGCCATTTTATAATGTAACTTTGACATTTATAAAGTACAAATTTATATTTACATTAGCCACAATCTAGATGCAAAACTACTAGCATAATAATAGTAATGGAGTTTACCGTATAGATTTCCAGTCAGTACTACAAGACTATTAATAGAATAATGATCAAAAAATTTAAAAGAAATTCATTTAACAATTATAAATTTGTTCTTTTCTTAAGATATCCGTAGTGGCAAAATAATATAACGTAACAAGAGAACTCCGCCGCAATTGTCTAAAAATTTTTTCTTCAATAAGTTTGTTATTCAACGATGTAAGTTTTCTTTGCGATTGTAACGGTAAAGAAAGTTTTTTCTACGTTAAAGATATGCTAAGCTTTTTACGTTGACAGGTCATCTGAAAAAGAACAATATGATAGGGTACATACCCCAGCGACTCCTGGTCAAACTAAAATCGAAATGGTACAGGCACAGATTGATAGTACGAAAGGTGAAATGCAAAAAACTCTTCAAGACCTTGCTAATCGAGGGAGAAAATTAGAAGAATTGGAAGAACAAACAGGTATATTACATATGACGTACAAAAAATGTTTTTCTCTTTGGTCCTTTACTTTTTTTTAACCAAAATTATCGCTATTTATAGTTATGCTATCAGATTCCGCTTCAGTGTTTAAAACTAGTTCTTCAAAAGTTCGTAGAAATATGTGGTGGAAAAATACTAAGATGACCGTTATTTTAACCATTACAATACTTATTATTCTAGCCGCCATCATTGGTAAGTTCAATATTTATTTTATGTGTCGTTAAATAATAAAATATTTAATCGTAAATAACACTCTTTTTCTTTTATAATTTTAAAGTTCCAACTGTTCTTAAACTTCAAGGAAAGATCTAAATAAAACCAAAGAGAGTAAATTTTTTTAATCGTAGTTTGTGTAATTATTTAATTATTTATCGTGTATAATAATGTTATCTATACACTTATTTATTCCACCTCCCCCATAATCATACGCACCTACTCACGTTCTTAATAGTTCCCATTAATTCTTTTAATTTTTTTAATTTGAATTGAAAAAAAAAGAAATAGATAGAAATTGCGAACTTTTTTTTTATTATATTATTATATTATTTTGGCTTTATTTGTATAATAAATACGGTATATCTACTGAAAAAAAAAGAAAAAAATGTCTAAGAAAAAATTTCCATTACAAAAACAAATTAAAAGATTTAAAAAAAAGGATACTGACAAATGTTAAGGTGTGTAATAATTTAGACGGTATATTTCATACACCTTGTTTCTTCATGAGTTTCCTTGCATTTTAAGCTACAATATTTCATTCCACATTTTTTACAAGCATAAGCTGAGATAAATCCACACACTGAACAAAATTTTCTTGGAGGATATCTAGATGGTTTAGCCGCCGCTGTTAAATATGTTGGGACGTCTGGTGGTTTCTCTACAATTCTCTAAAAAAAAAGAAAGATTTTATTTATAAATTTGAAATAATTTATTTATATTAACAATATGTTTAATATTACCGATTCATCTAATAAAGCTTTAAAGCTTCTTTTTGATATTGATTTTATATGCTGACTTTTAGTTCGTTTCGATTTTCTATCTATAAAATAAATAAATATTATTAAAAAAAATTAAATTTGAATGTTAAAAAAATATGACATAATTTACGTTGACTCGTATCAGCTAAATCAGAAACACGACGCGGTTTTGAAATTGTTCCTGTTACAATTTCAAGTTCTGGTATTTCTTGATAATTATCTTTTTCCAACTCATTTAAGTGAATTTCTATATTTTTTCTTCGCGTTGCTTCATCAATTTCTAATCGAATTTTTATAGGGTTATAAAGATGTTGTTGGATAAAAAGTTGAGTAATTAGAATAAGGAAACGAATAAGTACCTTTTTGTTCTTTTTTTGACATTTTTTTCGAGATGAAAATACGTGATTAAATTTTAATTTCTACCTATATATAGTGGATGATCAATGATTCTCACACGTTGTTGCACAAATCTTTAGTACAGATTATCGATTATATACCTTGTACCCTTTTCTTTAACTGCTAATAAAGATAAATAAAACGCATTTGTTTGCTCTTGATATTTAGATATGTGGACTCCAACAGTATTGAAACGTGTAATGGGAAAAAACCGAGTAAGTCTTAAAAATATGGAAGTTGCAGGCAAGTTTTTTTAAAATAAACTATGTAATAAGCTTATAACAAAATAATTTTTAAGAACCTTCTTTGTTTTTTTAGCTGGAATTGTAAAAGCCATGAAAATTCCAAATAATGCGACAATAATTGAATTATCACCTGGTAATTATATATCTTTTATTTATTAATCATTCTTTTACAATCATCTTTGATTCGATATTATTAATTGTTAGGAACGGGTTTCTTAACATATGCATTTTTACATCATACAAATGCACGAAAGATAATTGCATTAGAAAGAGAAAAAAAATATGCAGATGAATTATCATTATTAGCAAAGGAATCGGATGGTAGATTAGAAGTATTACATGCTGAAATTTGGGAATGGAAAACTTATGATATGTTAAAACATTATTTAAGTGACATAAAAGTTCATCCTTGGGAAGAAGGTAATTAACTATTACTTTTTTCAAAAAAAAAAAGCAGACTTAAATATAAATCAACTTTTAAAAAAATTCGTTAGTTCATCCCAATTTAATTTCAACAATTCATCTTCCAAATACAACGAAAGGGGAAATTTTGATGAATAAGTTATTAAGAAATTGTCATAATAAAAGTGGAATTCATTATTTTGGTAGATCACGTATGAATTTTATTATACCTGAAAAATCTGCTGAGGTATCCTTGTTTTGGCTTTTAAAATATTTGTTTTCTTTATAATGATTTTTTTTTCTTTTTTTTTGATTTAATTTCTAGAAATTCTTAGCAAAGAAAGGAGAATCACAACGACATAAAATAAAAATCGAATTAGAAGGTGTAGCAGTTACTGAAATATTAAAAGTTTTGTCCGCAAATGCTTTTCTTCCAAATGTAATATAAAAAAATCTTTGTTTTTTTTTAAAAAAAATAGGTTTTTAGAATTTTGTCTTTTTTATAGGTCCAATGTGTATTATTTGAAATAACTCCGCTTATTGAATCAAAAATAACAGGTAAAGTAATTCTTTCTATCAGAATTTTTCAGATAAGAGAATATTATCATCTTATATATTTATTTATTAGCTCCATGGGTAACATTTGAATATGTAATAAAAGCTTTAACAACAAGAAAAAATGCTAAATTAATTGAAATGCTAAGGTAATATTTTGCTATACTTATATATAAGAATATGTAATAATGAATTTTATTATTAATATGTTTCTTCATAATGTATAATAGTACATTGGGAGCTGGAGCAAATATATTAGCAGAAAAATTATCATTTAATCCCAATTTGCCAATAAGAAGTATGACTGTTGAAAATTATAATGAAGTTACTGTTATATTTGAAGATTGGGATTTTAAACCTAAAGCACTTGATGATGATTATTTGACTAATATTTTTAATTGACTACGATAATATTCATTTATTAATTTATTTAAAAATGTTAAATAAAATCAATTTTATGTGAATCATTAAAAAATTCAAGTGAACGAAAATGCAATTTTTTAATTTTATATTCCATCACTTTTCCGATTATCTATTTTGGATCATTTGCCTTTTTATCTTTAATAAACCGAAACATAAGTAAAAGGAACAAAGATTTTATTTTTAAGTCAATAGAATTAATATTAATTAATACTTTTTTAGATTTTAAATATATAAACAAAAAAATGGGGGTATAAATCTCGATCGTACACGTTTATTAAATCTAATTTTAAACTTTTATTTATCATACCCACATTCTGTCATTCATTCATTCAATCAGACAAGTCCAGGTTTATAATTTTTGTAGATCATTAAAATTTTCCGAAATCAGATAAGCTATTTTTGAATGTTAAAGTTATGTTAAGCTGCGGTATCATTTACGTGTTTTTTTCTCCTTTGTTCTTTCAGAAAATGTTCGTGAAACAATTTAAATATGTAAATAATAAATATTATGATCATCTGTTCGGAGTTCAAATTAATGGTAAATATAACGCTACACGTGGACAAGAATGGAAAATACGTGAAAGGTGAAAAAAAATCACCCACAATTTTTTCTAATTTCACTTATTTTTTTTTTAATCAAGTAAAAAATCAATAACCATTATTTCTTAAATTGCAGTAATTTTGGCCACTAATAATCAAACACACAAAACAAGTACTTTGTTCACAGAAAAAAAATAGCTTCATAATGACTTATTCTTAAAATATGAAGAATAGTTGCACAATTTGTAAGCAAGAAAATAGAAAATTAAATATAAAAATGGTGCTTTTAATCTTTTAATTTAATATCTACTTGTCTTAAAATAAATCATACAAGAACTAATTTCACAGTTATCTAAATATTTCTCTCTCTCACTTTTCTTCCACAAATACTGTTAAGCCTTAATATTATCTTTTTTTAAAATGTTTTTTGGCATTAATAGGTAAGTAAAAAAAAAAAAAATAGAAACTGGTAATATATTTTTTATTCTTATAAGACATTTTATTCACATTTTCTATTATATATACGTATTTTGATAATTAGCGATTTTATCAAAATAGTTGCTGCACTCGCTCTGGTTGGTACAGTTTTATATTATAGAAATAGGAGGAGAATAGACAGAGAAAAAAAGAAACCCCCCGAACCTAAGGATAAATTAACTGAAACTAACGAATCAACAATAATTGATACTTCATCAAAAGAAAAAGAAGAAATTCCATTAATTCAAGATTCATCTAACGTTGATATTCCTAACGAATCTGAAGAAAATAGTAAATGGGTTATTGTGGATTTTGATGATGAACAAGCATAAAATTTGATCGTTTTTTTTTTAAATATCTCCATTGATCACAATAATATCAGATTCATTTTATATATAATAATTAATGATAAAAGAACTTTTTAAATACGCATATATTAGCCTAATGTAAAATGGCCATCTCCCCACCTTATAAATGTACATCATTAATAAAACATAACTTTTTATTAGTTAAAGATCGTACACATGGGTACATTTAATAAGGAAACCCATGTAAAAGTTCCCGTGGTATTGAAAAATAATTCTTTCCTAACTTGAACTTATCATGTGATGCATGTTCGGTGCTACAAAAAGTTTCATCTTTTAAGAAGCGGGTTGTCTTTTCTTAAAAAAAATGTCAAATAGTATATCGCAAGTAGTTCTTCATTTATTATCAAAAAATGGACCACAAACATCAAAACAATTGTTATCGCATATAAATGGATATCGAGAAACGATATCTCATAAATATTTAAAGTCTAAAGTATTGGATAACATGAAAAATCAAAATTTAATTCATAAAAAGATATATAGAGGTGATTCAAATGATCCCAAATCATCCAAAATTAAACCTTTATGGCTTTGGAATATTAATGAAAATAAAGTTAATAAAGTTGCTCACATGGAATTGAATACTGAAAGAGAAAATGACAATGAACAAGCTAAGCAAAAAGACGTAGTTAATGAAATTTGAAGGTATTTTATTTTTTAAACGATTAATGCTCTTTAATTTCTAACTAGATTTAAATGACTTTTTCTGCTATATAAAAAATTTTATTCAGGAAAAACTTTAGCGAACCGAAATTTTTTTTTTTCTATTCTCTTTGTATAAAATTACTATATTCATTTATTTATGATTTGGGGAAGGAGAGTCTATCATTTCGTGGTGCTTCATATGAATTCGTCATGGATTTATTAAATGGGTTTGAAATTAAGATGAAATCTCACACTGTAACTATAAAGGACAGTATCGAAATTCTGAGAAAGGAATGTTTTCACGAAAAAAAAAATAAAAAAAAAGATGCCTAAATTCATGTTCTAAATAGATCCGAATCTCTAGTCCCAATTATGAATTATCAACAATTTTAAAGAATATATTTGTTCGATTTATTTGCAACAATTGTCCATTCTGAATTTTTATGTATACATATTCAAACTTAAAAGTAAGTTTATAATAAACTATTAGAAACAACTATATGAAACAAACTTAATTACATTATATAAATTTTTTTAGTATAATATTATTTGGATACAAATACTTAATAAAATTAACTAATTTTAATCAATACTAAAAAGTTATATTGTTACTAAAAATCATCTGGGATAATGATTTAGAAATATAAAAGAATATTAGTTAATGATAGTAGAGTATAGAAACAATCTTTTTAAAAGGAAAACCAGTTTGAAGTTTGTCAGATTTGACATATAAATAAATTATGAGTGTATTATAACAAAAAAATTTTATTTCAATTATTTTATAAATATTACAGAATATTTACTAGTTGGTAAAATTTTTGTTTTTTCTTTAATAATTAAGCTTTAATAAGACAACTTAAAATTAAAGTTAATAATGTATTTTTAGTATAATATATATGTTTAGGTTCTAAATTTTCAAATAAATTTACTACCATTCTTCTATAATAAAAAAATTAGTATAATTTTTTTAAAAAATATAAATTATTTAATATACTATATAAAATAAATAAAGTATTGCTAAATATTACAGCTAGTAATTATTATTTTATCAGAATTAAAGTAGAATTTTAGGTAGAATTAAAATGTCATAAAATTCTGCCTGTTAATATTTACTAATGCTAGTATGATTAATAAATATTTTTTTTTTTTTTTTTTTTTTTTCAAGGTAGTGCAATTCATGAGTTTATTAGTTATATGAAGGTACAGAAATGTCTGCTAAATATTATGATTAATAAATATTATTTTAGTTATTATTATAATTTATAAGTAATTTTATTATTTAACCATATTTTTAGATATTTATTTAATTTTTTTAAAAATGATTTTTGTGTAATTTATATTATTTTTTAATAAGTTTTTAATGTAAACAATTATTTATTATAATACTTGCATTTATTAATTACAAATAATATATAAAAATATTTGTATATATGTTTTAAAGCAAATATATTTTTACAAAAATTATACTATTTATATAAGTTGAATTTTAATAAAGTTTACTTATCTGCTCCTCTTTTAAAACTTTTATTCTGTAATTTTACATTCAACTTTAGAAAATATATTCTATCTAAAAACACTGATAATATCCTAAATTATATTTATATATAAATAAAAACCTTTTATCTTAAATTATTTAAAATAGAATCTTTATACTCTTAGTTTATAATACATATATAACAAGTTATCAACTATTATTATACTTTTAAACCTTCCCTTTAAATACACTTGGAATATTCTTTAAGCTCATAATAAACCTACATTAATTACATGATGATGAATAGTTATAATTACTGATAAGTAAACTTTTCTTATCTACAAAACTTTCGAAATTCCTAATTCATTGAGATAAGAAGAAATTTATTTAATAATGTTAAGTATTCAAGCTCCGATTATTGATTATATCACGAATGAAGGTAAAATTATCGAATGTTTAATTAAGTTGACAATTCATTTATTTAAAGCTCACAATACTAAATGAATCAAATTATAATTATGATTTCTTTAACGTATTATTGATTATTATGATAAATCTAACCGTAAATATTTCTTTATATTTTCTTTTGCCAATTCAAAGATGCTTACGAGATTCTTCATATATAAATACCCATTATTATTGTCATATATGTTGTTATTCATTTAAAGAACACTAATTAAGTCCTCCCCTTTTCTCATTGGAAAAAAATTGTTTCTTATTTAAGTTTGTTTAATTATTAACGATTCATTGTATGAGCAGCTGCTGTAGTTGGTTGTTGTGCTTCTCTTCGAGCAGCATCTTGTAATAAAGCTGTATCTACTGCACTAGCGGGTAATTGTACGTATCGTACAACTGACCCACGTATAAAACAATTCTTGACTGCCATCTATTATTGATTTTGGTTAATTAGAAAACTTTTTCAGCATTTACACATTCACGTTAATACGCGAAAAACAAACTATTCTGAAAATGAATATATATAAATACCATATGAGGATATTTTGTATCATCTACCACCCGAATCTCATCAAGTTTGATATTTAAGAATTGATCAACCGATTTTAAAATACCCGTAATAGCTAAATCATTTTTCAATTCTACTGTCACTTGATGTCCAATGAGTGTCTTGAAAAATGAATAAAACAACTATGAGAGGAAGAAAACAAAGGAAGAACTGTCAATTGAATTCATTAACTTATCGCGCGTTTCAATTTTCTTTTCGTTATGTAACTAAATATGACGTATGCACCGCATTAAAGCAGAAAATTTTTTTACAAGTTAAAAAGTGAATAAACGCACCATTATACAAGAAGGTGTACGTGATTTTATAAAAATTGGAATTTTTTCCGAAAGTAGAATTATTTTTGTCATAAAAATTGACTTTTTATGTATGTGATATCAATAATTGTGTAACAGTAATTTTTAAAGTTATAAGATCTACGTCCAATTTTTTTGGATTTTTTTTCCTATATTAGTGTTGTTTGAATTCAGACTTGTTGCGAAATCGATAATGGCTACCTCAACTTCTGTACAATTTACGGTTGGGAAACTCGACGCAGGAATGGTAAATATTCTTTATTCTTTATGGATTCTCAAGTTTTCATGCATCTAAATAACATCTTACTTTTGCTCTTGTAGGCGATCTTATTAACAGAAGATCACCATTTAATAGAGTTTCCATCATTATTACTTCCACCGGGAGTAACATCTGGTAGTATAGTAAATATAGGAGTAAATCGTAATTATGATCAAGAAGCAGCACAAAGTAAAGAGTTTTGGGAATTGCAAGAAGCAATTCTTAAGGAATTTGGACGTAATAAACCAGAACCGCCACGTCTTCACATAAAACATATTACTCAAACATCAGTCATACTAGAATGGGAGCCATTAGTTTTACATCAAGCAAAATTAAAAGCATTAAACATTTATCGTAATGGAGAAAGATTAAGTCAACACGCTCCAATAGGTATTAATTATATTAAATTAAGTGGATTGGATATGAATCATGATTATGAATTTTACATTACAATTCAAACTACAGCTGGTACTTTTACTTCTGATAATATTAAGGTTAAAACTCATACTATAGAAAATTTAACTGGTATTAATGTTTGTTTTGGTATTTTAAATGGGAATGATGAAAATGAACAAGATGGTGATAATCCTTCCCATAGTAAACAAGAATTGATTGAAATTTTAGAAAGAATTGATGCTAAATATAGTGAACATGTTGGTCCTGATACAACTCATTTATTATGTAATATTCAAGGTGGTCCTGAATATCAAAAAGCTTTAGAAGGTTCTATTCCTATTGTTAAACCTGAATGGTTGATTGCTTGCGAAAAAACTGGTGTAATACAAGCAGCTTTACCTTATTATCTTGTTCCTCAAACTCCCGTTTCTGAAGAGAGTAGCAGATAAATTATTAATATTGACTTTTGGCTTAATATTAGCTTTAAATAGTTTTGAATAAATATATTTGGAAATTATAATATTAATTATATTAATCGATTAATGGGATTAGAAAGTATATTTAAATTAATAGTAATTAATTTTTTATTTTTATTTTTTTTCTTTACAATTTGGATATAAATTTAATTATCAAATGAATAAGTGAAATGTATTAAGAAGAATGTTTATATAGAAACTAAATGAAGACTGATTGAAATAAACTGCTAATACATCTTCCAGTATATATACATATATACGTATATATTTTCCAAATTACATTTTTTATCTTAATTATCCTAAATATATGAAATTAACTAAACTAAATATCTTGAAAAAAGATGATTATCGAAGAAAAAAATCAAATAACCTCTTTTTAACTTCTTGAATAAGGCTTTATATTGCGTGGATTTTTCCTTTCAGCAATAGTGAATCATAAATACATTATCATTTTATTTCACCAACGGACGAACGTGACCTGCGTCATCTTTACACAATCTTTCATTATATTTTTGCATTTCCTTTAAATATGCATTGGCCTTTGGATCTAACGCTTCTTCACGTTCATCGTCTTCTAGAATAACGCGTTTAGCATCCGGTTCTTCGTCCGTAGGTTGACTCTTACGTTTTCCACGGTTTTTCTATATAACGAAATTTATTGTTAATATACAAAACTTTTGATTTTAAAAAAAGAATACTTAAATACTTACAATACGATCCTCAAAAGCCTTCTTTCTATAACATTCAAATATATTTCAAACATACACAAGTGACAATCCATAGAATAACAGAAAGAAAAAAACAACAATCCAAAAATAGTGTATAGTTTATTCATTTTTTTTTTTTTAAAAAAAAAATAATTTTTTTTAATATTTTCAAAAAATATAATTATGTAAGTAAAAAAGTTTCGTTTCGTGAAAAAAAATAAAAATGCTAACCAAAAAAAGAAAATAAAAGAAAATAATTTCTAGTCACGCCTTAATAGATCGATCTATGAATTAAAAGAATCCTTTACATCGATTATGATCATGGTTGTAATTCTACGACCAATTATATAATTATTTCTCCAAATAACACCCTCTTGAACCCTTGTACGTATGGTATAAATATATTGCACACCGTTCTAACAACAAAGCGTAATATCAGTCATTCCCCAAAAAATCGAATGGTGGGAAGATAAGTGAAGCTAAAAGCGCAATTAAGTCTTCCCACAATCATTCGATTTCCAAAAAATAATTTATATAATACGCAACACAATTAATCCTTGACTAAAAATATATTTTGTATCGTAAACTTCTCACCTTTCTAAAGCTTCAAGTTGTTTCTTTTTTTCATCTTCTTCAGCTTTCATTTTTTTGAATCTATCCAAAAAACTTCCATCATTTGAAAAAATATTTATTGCCGGTGTAGAACTAGGTACATTCTTCGCTGATTTCCCCCCTACAACGCTACTATTTGAACTTCCGCTATCTTTCTCTTTTTTGGTAGTACTTGTAGAAGAAGAGTTTGAAGGAGTAGGAGAAGGCGGCTGCTGTTGAACTGTTGTTGTCTCCTCTAAAGTTTCTGTGTTATTGTTATCATTATTTTCATTTGTGGTCATCTTGTAATTTTAATCGGTGTCTAGTAAAGTTCAAAGGTGGCGTCGGTTATCTTGTCTGCTTTATACAAATTCGTGGTTGTAGATCTATTTGATAGTGCAAAAAAATGAAAATTGTTCATGTGAATTCTAAAATTATGGAAAAAAATTTGGCCAATCAAATAAACCATGGATAAATTCACGCTTTGCTAAACACGTGATTTCTAATATTATTGTTGAAAACTAGTTGACGTCACCTCCTAGTTTGCCGGTTCTTTAGAATTAAGGTTAGAACTAGAGTTAGGTTTAGGGTAAGGGGATTAGAGTTAGTAATTTGTCACGTAGTATCATGTTCTAGCTGTTCAAATTTTATAATTATTCTGTAAACAGAAATTTTTTCACATACATGTAAAAACTCTAATTGTCACAATATTATACATAACCCAAGATGGTTGGACTAGCAAAATATCATGATGTTATCAAAATATAATGATTTTATAATATGATAATCTTATAAATATTTTTTTAAATTTTATTTTAAATTACAAATTTAAAATATAAAATTTTATTTAACAATATTGAAATAAATTAAAGTAAGTAAAAATTAATATAAAATTAATTCAATAATTTTATTAAATTTTATTTAAAATATAGAAATTAATTCAACAATTTTATAATTTATAAA